CCTTTATTGATGATTCCCTGCCAGAATGAAATTTCGCACATCACGATCTCTAATATACATGCACTTCGATTCACTAAATAATCCATCGAGGTAGCCACGATAGAATTTATTCAAACTGCTCTTACCGCGGTGAATTTTAAGTTTAGACGTCCAGATTGCAGGATGTTTTGGCAACAGCTGCATCAATATTAACGCGTTAATTAACCCAATCCTCGACCGACGTTGCACTCGGTGAACTCTATTAATCGGGAATCAGTTGGTCCCGTAAAATATGTAGCTAGCATAAATGGAGTATCGAGGCATTCCGCAAGTCGATGTTTGCCTTTCTTTTCACCAACCTCTCCCAAACGAGAGTTAAATTGCTGTTAGACGACTCTGTGTATTTTTAAAATTCAATTACTATACTAATTTCTTGACACTTTCTTCCTTTAACGGAAGGACGCTTTCTACACTTTTTCTGCCTCTTCTAAAATTGCTTAAAATTATATATATCCATAATATATAATTTTATATTATATTATATTATATTTTATTATATATTTTTTATTATATATATTTATATTATATTATATATAATTATGTATAATTTTTATTATATTATATACATATATAATTATATATAATTTTTATTATATTATATTATATATAATTTTATATTATATTATGTTATATTATATATAATTTTATATTATATTATATTATATAATATATATTAAAATACATACATATATAATATAATAGATTTTATTATATATGATATATCTGTCATTACAAAATTGTATAATAAAGTTTCGAAATTTTAAAAAATTCCAAGGCTTTCTCTAAAATTGAAATATTAAAATTAGGCTGCGGGTTTCACGTCGTGAGGGAAATATATAAAGCATGCCTCCCTCCCCCTATTTTTTCGTTCGCCACAGAGACGCAGCCGGATCGTATAACTTCCGAGGGTGAAAAATCGTCGCGTTTTACGGCGTCGACTCGGCCTCCTTCCCCTCTTTCTCTTTTTCTTCGCTCTGCCCCCTTCCATTATCTCTCGCAGAGGGTGACCGGGACTCGCGATCGAGTATCGCGATACGCCGTTCGAACCGTAAATTTTTATTCGAAATTTTATTCGGACATCTTTCGCGAGAAATATGTTCCGCTATCGGGGACCGTTGCACGAACTCCAGTGGATTACGAGCTCGCTACCTCTGTTCGCTACCTCCATCGTCCGCTCTTGTTCCTCGCCATTTATCTCTCTCGGTTCAAGGTGATTTTGATAGGTGATAACGACTCGCCGCCGATAAAGTTCTCGTAAACCGATTGAAAAACGCTTGTCGAAACGCTCGAGAAATTCGCGAACCCTGGCCAGATTGAGTGCAGATTGCACGCGTTTATTTTGTTTAGCGTGATGTCGAAGTTATTGCTTTATGGAACTAATAATTCAGAGATATTTGAATACAGAGCTATTTAATCCTTCGTGTATCGTTCGTAGTCATTCTTTGCGCCGAGTCATTCATATTCACGCTTAATTTTTTTCTTTTTACTGCTAAATTCCAGAGAAATGTAAAAGAATACTGAATTGTTTAACAAAGTCTTTAACTGTACTGTGATTTAAAAAAAAAAATCACTTCTACTAATTTGTTAGTCTTGTTTCAAAAATAACTTGGAAAAAATAAAATGACCATATCTTCTAGATTTAGATCAGAGTATAATTCATTCATCGATACAAAATAACGAGCAATCTCGACAGAATGTAAAGTCTATAGCAATTGGAAATCATTAATGGAAGAAACAAGATTAATAGAAAATCCAAATTGAGAAGTGAGAAGTTTACTCGATAGTCAATAATTAAATAATTAAATAACAAACAAGTTCGTAACAGTAATTGAATAATTTCGAGAAGGATCATTTGCCTGTTCGAATAAACTAATATGCAACAGAGTTATATTACGCATATGTATATACATATATATATATATATATATATATATATATATATATATATATATATATATATAATATATATATATAATATATATATATATTTAATAATATTTTAATATACACACACGTATATTTATTTAATAATATTTTAAAACACACACACATATATATATATTTAATAATATTTTTATTTTCTAAGCTCTCGTCTAAGAAAATTAATGAATTTCTAAAAAACCTTATCATAGAAATAAAAATAAGAATGAAAATTAATTCATTTTATGTTGTTTTCTTTATATAAAAATATTATGATTTTTGAATGAATAGCGCGGCAATGGTGATCAAACAAGTGTGTGTATATGTATGCATGCGTAGGTCAAGTGCGGCCTAGAGCTTGTATTGGCCAACATACGAAACTAATGTTATGTAATCAAATGTTGGACTGCGTGTAGCATAAAATAAAAAATAAAACACAACTTTATAGATATTTCAATGATACATGTATATTGTTTCTACGTACTCATATCAGTCTGTAAACTTCACTTCTGAGAACACAAATAGTTTTAGATACTGTTCGTAGATAGATACAGTTAGAACTGTTTTTATTTTAGAATTACGTTGTCACGAGCAATAATCCGTTAAGCTGGTATAATGGTATACCCACTTTGTTAAATCTGTACGTCATCAGCTAGTAGAATCAAAAATATAAAAGTTCCCGCGAAAGATTAAAATCGTTCGACTATAGAAGAAACATTACAAATATTGTAATGAAATAAAATGAAGCGTAACCATTGTAAATTAAAATTTATAATACCATATGCACACAATGTATATACATTATTTAACATAAAATGTTGAACAATCTTTTTATTTTACCATGTCAGTTTTTTTTAATAATAATTATGTGAATAACAAAATGAATATTTATAATCAGTACACAGTAATAATTAAACTAAGACATCACAGTCAAACGGTATAATTTTCTACATTTAAACACTTATGCTATGATTATATTTAAACATATTATGGCACAATTCTATTGTTAAAAATTCCAATTTGTAGGTTAAAGGTTTATAGAAATTTGATTTGGCGCGCTTTTATACAAGTAGACATTCTTGAAAGCGCCATCTTTCAATGTTATAGTAAATTATTTTTTTCAAACAGTTAACGTCTCGTCTCGAAACTGTACGAATTAAATAAAAACAGTAATCAACAACTTTTGATAACTAAGAAGTAAGTATTTATATTTTTATCATTAATGAAATATTGTCAACAAAAATTTATATGAAAAAAAAACAAGTAATAACGCAGAAATGAGTGCCTGTCACGTTCGCCTTCTTTGAAACGATTTTCTATATAAATTATCAAAATTTTTTAAAAATATTAATTAATAAAACATGTAATATTATTCTTTATATTCTATACATTTTCATCTTTGTTTTAATATTTTTTATTTATGTATTATCTCTCAATCAAATGAGAAGAAAGTAATAAAGATAAGAAATATACAAATTTCTAATTAGACATATTTGTAATTTCTAACAATAACTTAAGAGACGATACATAAATTTCAAATCAGAAAGTAATGTAAAGATAATATATCGAATTATATATGTTAGAAAATAATTTATTTTCGCGCGTTATATTTGAATTGAATTTGAACGTAGAAGCGCCACCTGCCAAGCAAGGTGTAACTAGTTAGTGTCGGTTAAAATTTTGAACAGTGCGCGAATAGTGTGTAATTGCTTTATTTCGAAGAAAAACTTATATTTTCGCAAGTAAAACAAATTCTTTTGTGATACTTTCTGTAAATTGTGTGCTCTACTGTGCAATCTGTGTGGATACATATGGATATCGGACGCTTGTACGAGAAGGAAAAGAAAAATTCGAGTTGGCCGTCAAGGTAGGAGTTTTACGTGTTAAGATTCACATTACTTCTACGAAGTCTATCCAGAACAAAGATATTATCTTAAAACTAAGATTTCTATTTAAAATCTCTACAAAATTTAAATTACTTATATCAAAATTTAAAAGATGACTTGAACGATGAATTGAATTCAAAGGAATCAAAGATAAAAAAATTTTAAATAATTTAAGAGTCCATTGGATTTAACGGAAATTTGAATAAGCTTAGTATATAAATCTTTAACCCTCCGACTACTGAAGCTAAAGCTCCGGTGCTGGGTCATTTTGATTCACACGGATATCTCACTAATACATATTTAGAGTCGTCCGGATGGCTCACCGATATTGTACATAGTGTGACGGTTGCTTGAGACCGAGGTCCTCACCGATATTGTACCAACACAGTGACAGTCACCCGACTCATAGGAACATATAGGAGTATAAGGAACAAATAATAGTCAGCTAAATAATAAAGTTATATATATATTTACTATACATTTATGTCATTTACTGTCAGGAACGTCTTGTGCAAATTAAGCGAAAGAAGACAAAGAAAAATTGCTCATTGGCAATGAAGACATTGCGTCAACAAATAGAAACAACGGAAAAATTAATAAAAAGAACAAAAATAATAATAAAAACAGTAACGTATTAAAATAGTGCTAAAAATTAAAATCTAAATAGTAAATACAAAAATAATATTTGGTAAACACATGGCACACAGCCGTGTGATGCATTAGTGCAATTACTAACACAAGCAGCTTCCATAACTAACACAAGCAGCTCCCATCATTGTGTGCGATCACTAACACAAGCAACTCCTAGCACAGGTCAAAACTGTAACTCCGAATTAAAAATTTCACTACATTTATTCAACTTCTGTTTGTTCTAATTTTTAAAAAAAGCATGTCAAACGCAAATTTTTCTATTAAAATTTATAAAATTTATAAATAACCATTTACGACAATAATATGCACGATGAATAGAACTTTTTAAAATGAAAAGTTTGATTTTATTCAAGGAAAAGTGTTTGATAATATCTTTATTTAAATTCATATATTTATATTCATTTTTTATAAAAATTAAAATATTTAATGATTAAATAGAATGATATATTATTGCATTTATTATACAAATAAAGTTATACTAAAGTGTATACTTACGCTTCCACATGTAGCATATTGTAGAACTTGCAAGTTCATATTGAGTTATTCTATACGTACACAAAAACATGAATTTCGGTTTAGAAAGTAGGGGAAACTAATTTACAAACTAACCTAATATTTTGTTTGTAATACACGAATAAGAACAAAGAAGAAGATTGGTTTGTTTTAACTAATTTCATGGAAAATATTTATTATACATACATTTTAACTGCCAAATCTAGTGTACAATTTTCTAACCTCTCTCATCGCTTTGTTTATTAGTAAAGCGTATAGTCATACATCAAGGATTCATTCTTTTTTTTTTTGTTGGTACAACAGTAAGATATGTTTGTACAAACAATATTTGCAAATCCTAGAAAAAATGCGCGTAGAATGTTGTTTCTAACGCAATGATAACAAGTTGCAAGTGAAAATACTATTTGTGAATAATTTGTATTGTTGTACGATAACCATAACGCTATAAAAGACAATGTCAACGAAAAGGAAAGCAGATACTCAAGTGCCAGCCGAAGAGAGTGATTTATTATCAATTAGACCACTTGGAGCTGGTCAAGAAGTTGGAAGATCATGCATCATGTTGGAATTTAAAGGCAAAAAGATTATGTTAGATTGTGGTATCCACCCAGGTTTATCTGGCATGGATGCGTTACCATTTGTGGATTTAGTAGAGGCAGACGAAATTGATTTATTATTAATTTCTCACTTTCATTTGGACCATTGCGGTGCCTTGCCGTGGTTTTTGCAAAAGACAAGTTTCAAGGGACGATGTTTCATGACACATGCCACTAAAGCCATTTACCGTTGGCTCTTGTCCGACTACATTAAAGTTAGCAACATTGCAACAGAGCAAATGTTATATACTGAATCTGATTTAGAAACTAGTATGGATAAAATAGAAACTATCAATTTTCACGAAGAGAAAGATGTTTTTGGAATAAAATTCTGGGCCTATAATGCTGGCCATGTATTGGGCGCTGCTATGTTTATGATTGAAATAGCAGGTGTTAAAATTTTATATACCGGAGATTTTAGTCGACAAGAAGATAGGCATTTGATGGCTGCTGAAATTCCAAATATCCATCCAGACGTTTTAATTACTGAATCCACTTATGGTACACATATACATGAAAAAAGAGAAGATCGCGAAGGAAGATTTACAAATTTGGTTCATGAAATTGTTAATAGAGGAGGAAGATGCTTGATACCTGTGTTTGCATTAGGTAGAGCACAAGAGCTTCTCCTAATTTTGGATGAATATTGGAGTCAGCATCCTGAACTCCATGAAATTCCCATTTATTATGCTTCCTCTTTGGCAAAGAAGTGTATGGCTGTTTATCAGACTTATGTAAATGCAATGAATGATAAAATTAGAAGACAAATTGCTATTAACAATCCTTTTGTATTTAAACATATTTCTAATTTAAAAGGAATTGATCATTTTGAAGATATCGGACCATGTGTAGTAATGGCTTCTCCTGGTATGATGCAAAGTGGACTATCTAGGGAATTATTTGAATCTTGGTGTACTGATGCAAAAAATGGTGTTATAATTGCTGGTTATTGCGTAGAGGGAACATTGGCAAAGACTATTTTATCAGAACCTGAAGAAATTACAACCATGTCTGGACAAAAGTTGCCATTAAAAATGTCTGTTGACTATATATCGTTTTCAGCACATACAGACTATCAACAAACTTCAGAATTTATACGTATTTTAAAACCTCCACATGTTGTACTTGTACATGGAGAACAAAATGAAATGGGTAGATTAAAAGCAGCATTACAAAGAGAATATGAAGATGATCCTAATACAACAATGGAGATACACAATCCAAGAAACACTGTCGCTGTAGAATTATATTTTAGGGGGGAGAAAACTGCCAAAGTAATGGGCACATTAGCAATGGACACACCGAAACCAGGACAAACATTATCTGGAGTTTTAGTGAAGAGAAATTTCAACTATCATATGTTAGCACCTTGTGACTTGTCCAAATATACAGACATGAGTATGAGTCAAGTCATTCAAAGACAAAGTATCTACTTTTCAGCATCATTACCAGTATTAAAACATCTTTTAACTCAAATTGCTGGAAATTTGGAAGTTGTGGATGATAAAAAATTACGTGTTTTTAAAAATATTGATGTCACGATTGATGGAAAAATTGTTACTATGGAGTGGATTGCAACACCTGTAAATGATATGTATGCAGATTCTGTTTTGACAGCAATATTACAAGCTGAGATGATGGAACAGCCACCCAAAATATTACCGGCACCTACAAAAATGGATCGAATGCATTTTAAGGAATGTTTGATAGAGATGTTACAAGAAATGTTTGGTGAGGACTCTGTTCCTAAGATCTTTAAAGGAGAAAAATTATATGTAACAGTTGATGGAAAAAAAGCTCATATAGATCTATTAAATTTGGAAGTAACCAGCAAAGAAGATGAAACATTTCAACAAATAGTACAAACAGCAGTAACAAAATTACATCAATCACTCGCACCTCCCTGTGATACAATTTAAGAAATATTTTTTTTAAGTTTTATAGATAGAATATAATACATATAAGATTACTATTATATATAGAAAATTATATAATTATATAATATTATATAATATTAATAGAAAATGTTGAACAACAAAGACTTTTATTTATTGTACAATTCAATGGTATTATATAATACAGTGACATTCATTTTTATAAAAATAATAATATCAAATAAATAAAAAAAAATATAAAACTAGTTATTTCAATTTTTTTTTCATTATTAAAATAGTAAACATTTGAAAATTCACACTAGTAAATATTATTTTATTATTTAAATCTTAGACTTAAAATAATCTCGACTTAATTTTTCGATATTCAGTCATTAAATATAAATTATTTATATCATTTTTAATGTAAAATTCACCGGTTCATGTATAAAAGTAGAATAATTATATAAAAATGCGCAATATTATAGTATTAATTGCAGTAAAACTTTGAAACACGATTAATTTACACGTTTACGTATAAAATATATATATATAAAAAAAACTAATTGAATTTAATTCAAATAAAAATATTTAGTAATTAGATAATGTTAAATTTTCTTACAAGATTAAAAAGATTTAGTGGATTAACAAATAGTATATTCAGAAAGATTCCCCCATGCTGGCCCAACTTTGAGTTTAACAGGTAGTGGTACTGCAAGTTGACATACTTGCTCCATTGATTCCTTTACTATTTTCGCAACTTGTTTTAAGTCATGTATATTCACCTAAAATGAAATGAGATTTATTATTTCTGAAAAGATTTATGTTAAAAATTCATGTTACATATACTACAACTATTAGTTACCTCGTATAAAAATTCATCATGGAGCTGTAATACTAAATAACCACCTCGTTGTTGTGCTTCCCTGCTATTACTTCTTAATTTGCGAGTAGGATTGCCGCTGGGCATAATAATTGCAGAAGTCGGAAATTCGAATCGTATTCTTTCTTCAATATTCACCATTGCTTTTTTGGCAATATCAGCTGCAGAACCCTGAACTTTTGTATTTACTGCTTGACGTTCCGCTTGCGCTAGATTAAAGAAACAATTTATTTGCATCTAGTTGATCAAATATCAAACTATATATACACATTGAACATTTACATTTTTCTGCTGGATTTGTACTTGTCAATCCTGGAAACATTCTGCGTCTTTCCAAAATAGTAGTTATGTAACCATTTGTACGTGCTTCTTCCAATACATTATTCAGCCACTTAGATATACCTGGATATGCATTCATAAAAGAGTCTAAAAATTCTTTGGCTTTGGCTTCATCTACTGATAAGTTCCCAGCAAGTGTCTTCACTCCCATACCATAAATCATCCCATAACATAATTGTTTTGTATGTTGACGTATTTTATCATTAACCTTTTAAGTCAATATTACGATCATCATTTAATAATAAATTATTTCTGCAGTATTATATAATATTCTATTATACCTGATCTTCAGGTATGTGGTTCCAATTTGCTGCAATATTCTTGAAAATATCACCTGGCTTTCGCATAATATCGCATAATACTGTATCTCTTGAAAAGTGGGCTAATATTCTTAATTCAAGTTGACAATAATCTGCTGATAACATAATATTGCCTAGCGCCGGTATAAATGCCATTCGAACACTTATAGTAAAGCTATTGTCTTCAGAACTGAAATCTCTTGGAACATTTTGTAAATTTGGTTCATGCATTGAAATCCTACCCGTCAATGTAGATGTAACACAATTACCACGAATTCGAGGATTGTGTTGAGCTAGATTCAATATCGGGTAAATAATCTAAAAATTATATTCTATTACTTCACTCGGAATTAATTAACTAATATATGGCTAATATATGAGTTAATATATGTATATTTATTGTTTAAAAATTTTTTCAAAATTTCTACATACTTTAGATTGAGTTGCATTTAATTTACGCCATGACATTACAAGACTGGATACTGGATGATCAGATTGTTCTAATACAGCTTTATTAACACTAATCTTTTTCTGTTTGCATAAACCTAAAATCTATGCAATTAAAAATTTAACAATTAAATTCAAACAATTCGTTTCATTAATATATCTACAAACCTCTCCAACTTGCTTAGATGAGGAAAAATTGAATCTTTTTCCACATAATGCATATGCTCGTTCTTCTAATGATGTCATTTCTTCATGGACGATGGAAGACAAATCTTGTAATGATTTTAAAGATATACCTAAACCAGTTAATTCCATGCAAGCTAATAATATCACTGTTTTCATTTCGATATCTAAAAATATATTTGATACTTTAAAAAATATAAAAGAAAATGATTCATAATGGAACATGTTTATAATATTTATTACCTTTATATGTGTGCAATAATGTTGGATTTTGTTGTTCTAACTTATCTAGTAGTTTGTCTGTTACATGCCATGTAAGTATAGCTTCTGCGGATGCTCTGAGTTCTCCTGGTATTTCACTTTTTACATATAATCCAGGTCCTACATCATAACATGTACCTATTCTTTTAGTTATAAAACATCCTTGTGGAAAATATTCTTTCACCTGAATATTGATTTAAATATAGTGCAATTATAATATAATATAATAAGTAACTTAATTTATGAAACTAAAATTATACATAGTGTTTACCATTTCATTAAAAGTTTTTTCATAAACGTTCCCATCATACAACCAATTTGCTACTTTTGGATCTAAAAATTTGCAATTTGCGGTAATACCACAGCATTCGTATAAGGTTTTGAACATTTCTTTAGTTGCAAAACATTTCACATACAAAACTCTATTAGCAAGTAATTCTTTTAATAATTTCATTTGTTCCTTGCCTGGAACTTTTAAATCTGAAAATTTAACATTTTAGAAACTAACAAAGAGGAGAATTAATGTTAACATAATTCTGAATACCTTGTTCATTACAGAAAGAAATATAATACGCAATATTGTTTTCCCAAGAAACGGCTGCACCACACAGTTTTTTATCTCCATGCACGTGATTTTCCACTTTTTTACATTTCTTCCTTTTTTCAGTAGTGGCGGAATCAATGATCTTAAAACCTATATTGTTAGTTTCATCATTATACAATGCACAATTCAAAGCCAATGCAACGTATCGTTTTTGCATTACTTCACGTTTAAATAAATTAAATGTGGCTCTGTCACTTCCAACTTTTATAACATTCAGTGTATTCCAATTAGTCGTTTCACTTATGGCCTCTGCAAGTTCATTTGTTTTCACACACTTCTGAGGGCTATTTTGAGTCATTTTTGCATTAAATTTAGATGTTTGCAAAATTTTTGCTGATTTTATGGGCGTATCATTGTCTGAATTTGAAATTAAGCCGTCTATGCTACAATTTTTATCGGTTAACATTTTTGGCGCAAGCGTTTCATTTAATTTCGATTCGAGCTTGCATTTTTCAATTTCTATTTTGTTCGAAAATGTTGCACAATTTTTATCGTCAAATACACGGTCCAAAATTTTTCGAGTACACAACTTTGGATTTTTTACAAAATTATTTTGTAATTTGCTACTTGCAGCGGGTGAATTTATATTTTGAGAGGCAATAACAATATCATCCGAGTCTGATTTGTTTGAATCTAACGATGTTCCGCGATTTTTGCTAAAAACCATGACTTTGCTTGCTACAGGTGACTTTGCAACTGGAATATTATTAAATCTACGCTTCTGCAGTATCTGTTTCAAGTCATCGCGAACATCCGCAGTTTGTTCAAATTTCACATCATACTTCTTTCTTATCTGTGATACTGGACTACCGACTTCGCAATTCTCTGCAACATTTTGCATATTTGTATTTTTTATATCTTTGATATTATGTTTAGTCAATACATTATCGCTATTTTTATCTTTAATTTGATTCAACTTTTCTATTATTTTCCTCGGTTCGTTCCAAGAATCATCTTTCCATGAAATTGTACTCTGTTTTACTTGTGAATTTGTGAAATTTGAAGAATTCTTATTCGTATGTTTGTCTTTTACATCCGTTTCTATCTCGTCGTTAACTTTAGAAACATTGTTCTCTGTATGCTCCCCGTCTTTGGGTTCAGATGATTCACTTTCTTCAAATTCTGAGAATCGCAGAGAATCAACGATATTTTGTTCAAGGATATTGCAAACTTGCGTGTCAAAGCTTAAACTATCATCAAAAAGGCTAGGACTTTTTGAAACTTCTGGTTTCATGTTATTCTCAAAACTAGATAAACGTTTAATTGTATTTTTGCAAGCTGATATGTTAGCATTCGTTTCATCTGAGATTCTGATTTTCTTGGTAGGTGTGTTACTGGTATTCTGCAGCTCATTAATTGAATGTTTAGTGACATTTCGAGTACATTTTTTTTTTTTACCATTGTAAGCGATTAATGATTCACTGTCTTGTCTTGAGATAGACGTTATTTTACGGCTATTAGTTCTGTCAAAGAAGTCAGCTGACAGCTTTTCAGCTGGAGTGTCGAAAAATTCGGGAATGTCTATTTGTAATAATTGGTCAGTGAGTTTCATGTTTTCATGCTTTGTTTCTTGAGCTGTATTGTTCTCGGGATCACATTTAGAATTTTCAGTATTTTTTATAACGTTTGCATCAGTTTTAGATTTTCTATCTTTATCAGATTTATGATTTGATGTGTCTTTTTCTTCATGAGCAAAATTCATATTTTTGCTCCTACTTTCGTTGATTATTGAACATGGATTTTTTTCATGGTTATTTTTAATCGAGTTAATTTTATTCTGAGACTTACTACATACAGTTTCAATCTTTATTTGCACGTTCGCGTGTTCTGTAATTTGAAGTGCACTTTGCTGTCCGTGCAAACTTATTTCGGTATTAGATTTGTCTGTACTGATGGATTGTTCGTTTTGTTTCCAAGACATATCTTGCAATCTCAATTCATTCTACGATTAAAACACAAAAATTATTTGATGTTAGAACCATATAAGCTATCACTTACCTGTACCAATGTTCTGGCCTCATGAACCAACATCATTGCAGCTTCATGAGGTGTTAAACCATCTTTCCCAGTGACAAATACTGTTCTCATTTTGT